GGGAAGTTGAACAACTGACCCTGGGGTGCAGTCGGAATAATCTGGAGCTGAACACACTTAAAACTGTAGAGATGAAAATCCATTTTAGAGGAGTTCTCATATTCTACCACCTCTTACAATATTAGATAATACTGTATCATCAACAGTAGAAACCTTCAGGTTTCTGGGTTCTATAATGTCCCAGGATTTGAAATGGCACCTACAGTAATATTATTATCATAATTAAAAATGCACAACAAAGAATGTTCTTCCTCCATCAACTCAGAAAGTTCAGACTGTCCCAGTAGCTGTTGATACAGTTATACAAAGGAATTATTGGGTCTGTCATTTGTACTTCTATAATTGTCTGGTTTGGTACAGCAACCAAACAGGACAAGTACAGACTTCAATAGATAGTTAGAACTGCAGAAAAAACAGTTGCAACCAGCCTGCCTTCCATTGATGACTTTGTATACTGCATGGGTCAGAAAGATGACTGAGAAAATATCTACAGACCTCTCACATTCTGAACTCAAACTGTTTCAACTCTTCCCCTCAGGACGCCTCTATAGGGCATGCCAAAACAACTACACATAAAGACAGTTTTTCCCCTCATGCCATCTCTCTGCTGAACACCTAATTACCACAGTACTGTCTTATTTCTAAAAATATTTACCCATATAGTATGGCTGTATTATTATTATCCTTCTCATCTTTTCTACTACTTTCTCCTATTGGTATCTTATGATTATATTATCTTGTTTGTATGTACACTTGTTATTTGTATGTAGATGTTGTTTGTATGTTTGTATATACACTGATTATATTATCTTGTTGTTTGTATGTACACTGAGAGGGTCAAGCACCTTGGAAATCAGGAGATTCAGGCAGTTCAAATAAGTATAAAGATTTATTGCAAGCTTAAGTTCTCTATTAAGCTACCAACAGTCAAAACAAATTAGTGGTAGATAGAGTTAAAGGAATTCAAAGTGGGTTGGAATTAGATCTCTTGTGGGTACACAGGGACTGATGACCCTTTGACCCCTCTCTTGGGCTCAGTCTGGTCATCTCCTATAATATCCATGGTGGCGAACCTATGGCACAGGTGCCATAGGTGGCACACAGAGGCCTCTCTGTGGGCACGTGCGCCGTCGCCCCAGTTCTAGACCTTCAGCTAGGTTTTATAAAACGTTTTCACTTTAGGTTTCCACCGCCGTGTGCAGAAAAAAAAAAAAAGGCTCAATCAATCAGTTTCAACTTCTCGCGGGGAAAAAAACGATCTCGCAAAGTTGGAATTGATTGATTGAACTTTTTGGTCCCACCCAATCTGCCATTACCACCGCAGCCATGCCCACCCAATGGACCACACCTATCCAATGGGCACGCCCACCCAATGGGCCATGCCCACCCGGCACCCGACAATACATAAGTGGATTTTAGGTTGCAGTTTGGGCACTCAGTCTCTAAAAGGTTCGCGATCACTGTCCTATATCAAGCTTATGCACCATAAACAAATTCCTTGTGTGTCCAATCACACTTGGCCAATAAAGTATTCTGTTTCTAATTCTATTCTATTCTATTCTATTCTATTCTACTCTACTCTACTCTATTCTATATGTTGAAATTTCATTTGTTGCCTTGTCCATAAATATTATGCTTTGCCATTAAAGTTACTCTTTTGCTTTGTTCAATAAACTTATTTCAGCTTCTATCATGTCTTACTGCCTTCCAATGCATAAACTTCCCCATTTTACTGTGTCAAAATACATGCGGAGAGAGAAGCAAAAGGGAAAAAAGCATCAACAAACATTACAATTATAATACTACTGAATCAGATCTTACTTATGGCTAACTCTTCAAATGTAATTTGTGTCAAACAGATTTCTTATATTTAAAAAAACCCTTTGTAAAACAACAAATTTTAATTCAAGGAAATCAGCAATCATAAGGAATCAGATAGTTTAAATAAACAATTGATTTCATTATATTTTTTTTAACAGCTTGGACTCTAATTTCAGCTTTTATAGAATAATCTCAGTTATAGGGAAAAGTTAAACAAAGACAATACTGGGAGTGACCATAATTGTGTTAATTGTAATCACAGAAGAGCAATAATTTAAGGAGAAAGCAAGAACTAATTTGACATCAAGAGCTGGCAACTGAGGACAATCATCAACCTCAGATTAAAACAGAAGGAATTAAGAGAACTGATCTCTATAATTATCTTCCCTGTCACCTTTCTCAGTCACCTTTCTCAGTTCTTTCACTTAAATTAACTTATAGTTAGCAATCTGGTTAAATCATAAATCTGTTTTTGTAAAATTAAAAACCTTAAGCAAACAAGGGAATGGTTTGAAAGCCAAAAGGATAAAGTTCAAATAGGTGTAACTGATCTTTTACCATTAAGGTTTAAGCAGCATTTGAACAGAACTGGATGTGACATTTCAGCTCTTTGCTTCCCAGAACTGAACACTAATTATAATTCTAGTGACATTCATAAGGACTTTCTAATTTTCTACATATATTACTGAATACATTTTAAAAACCAACTCATTAAAAACAAAGAAATATATAACACAGAAGGCTGCAGTTATATAGTTATTGGGTAACTATAATAACAGTAATATACACATTGTATGAGTATGTATACCAGGTTTGTCTTAGCAGGATTCTCAGGAAATAATTAAGCAATCAAGAATCCAGAAACTTGTGAGAATTCAATTTTTATGGCAGTAAAGCTATAACAACAGAATTTCAGTGACTTGTACAGCTTTGTATCAGATACAAGGTTTATTTATACAATCAGTGCTCAAATTTCTATGCCTCCTTTTTTTCTGACCACACCATGTAAAGAGCCAGGAGTAATTATTTTGTGTGCAGGAGATACAGTTATTATTTGTTCTCATTCTAGTAACAGCCTGTTCTAATATGGTTTTCTTTCAACCATGTGAGAACTAATTTTCACAAGACATCTAGAACTCTAGAAAGAGTACAGAGTACAGAGTACAGAGAAGAGCAACAAAGGTGATTAGGGGACTGGAGGCTAAAGCATATAAGGAACGGCTGCTTGAATTGGGTATGTCTAGTTTAATGAAGAGAAGGACAAGTGGGGACATGATAGCAGTGTTCCAATATCTCAGGGGCTGCCATAAAGAAGAGGGAGTCAAGCTATTTTCCAAAGTGCCTGGAGGCAGGACAAGAAGCAACGGGTGGAAACTAATCAAGGAGAGAAGCAACCTAGAACTAAGGAGAAACTTCCTGACAGTGAGAACAATTAACCAATGGAACAACCTGCCTCCAGAAGCGGTGAATGCTCCAACACTGGAAGTTTTTAAGAAGAGACTGGACAGCCATTTGTCCGAAATAGTATAGGGTTTCCTGCCTGAGCAGGGGGTTGGACTAGATGACCTTCAAGGTCCCTTCCAACTTTATTATTATTATTATTATTATTATTATTATTATTATTATTATTATTATTATTATTATTATTATTATTATTATTATTATTATCATTGTCTATAGGTTTATTATTGCTCTGCCCCATAGATCTAAGCAAAACAGTTTGGCTTTAATGGAGATTAATTTTACTAATTAGCAGACCATGTTTACATCTATCAGATATCATAACATTGGAGGCAATTTATTTTAGTGAAGAACTGAGCAGATTTCTCTGGCACTGCACATCTGGGAATGTATATATCTCTCATTCTGGGATGGTTGCATAGGTGTTCCATTTATATTTCTGCAAATGTAATGTTCTGGCTAGCAAAGTACAGAACAGGAAGTTGGAACAACCAATCAGCACATAGGACGCGCACCTCCACAGTTGGGATTTGGGTGGTGTGTGTGTTGAAGGTCTGCAGCTATCTGCAGCCTATGCCTTACCAAACAAGCCCTACATGCAGTTGTGGGCAACTCTATAGTAAGCTTAAGTCTACTTTGAAGCTGAGTTCATATATCATTCTAAAATAACATTGTTCAGAATTGTTTATTAACTAAACCATTATTGATTGAATTTACATGATGTATGGGCTGTTTAACATAGTTTATAACCTCACCAGCTCCTATGTTGCCAACCAAATCATATTAAAAATGTATCAACTTTGCCATGCAGGTATTAGCTTGGGTGGGGGTAACAGGAAGAATCACTCACAAATATTCTACCTGCTTCTAGAGAAACTGGGGGAAGGATCCATTCATTCCTGCCTTGGTATATACGTGGAGGAAATGGAGGAATCAATTTGCCAGCAGAGATTAAATAGCAAACACACACAAATGAACACCTTCTGAGACCAAAGATGGTATTAGTCAGACAATTTAAATGAATAAATTAATGGAGGCTATGGATTCCTGGCACTATGCTTAAACTGGGCGCTGGTTCTCAGGACATCACATTACGAGAATCCAGCACCTTGAATAATAGGAGATAGTAGCTGGGCGGTAACGGGGATTACTATGCCACTCCACGCCCTCCGGCCACCACTTGTACTCCACAGCTGAGAAAATCTTCCTGGTCTGGACCGGTTAGGGCTGTTCTCCCTTTCCCTCCCCTTTCGATGCTCGGAATGATGACACTGCTCCAATACTGAACCCGGGGATAAAAAGGAGCCTATCCATTAAGTGGCTCCTCAAGGAGCACGCTTAGTAGGTTTGGTTTCCAACCCCTTCAAAGACGGCGGCCGGGAAAGGGCGACAGGAATCAACACCGGGATAGCTTGTTGTTGGGCGCGGGGCAGGGGACAAGGAGGCGAACGGCCAAGCGCCAGCCAGGGAAACCCGGCCAGGAGGCAGCGGCTCCGTCCTGAAGGAGAACGGCAGCAGTTTCGGGAGTTGTGCGAAGCGAAGGTTGCCGGCGAAGCGACCGTCTCCTCAGCAGAGCCCGCCGAGTTTTGCCCGGCTTGGGAGACGCTCGGGCAACCAGACAAGTCGAAGGCGCGCGGTGAGCGAGGAAGCGAGGCAGGCGGTCCAAGAGCGCCCCCCGGACTCTTCGCCCGCTCGGCGGAGGCGCACCGAGCTCATCCATGGTCACCTGCAGAAAAGTCGGGGGGTTCGCCGTCTGGGACTATGTGGTCTTCGGGGTCATGCTGTTAATCTCCGCGGCCATCGGGGTGTACTACGCCTTCGCGGGCGGTGGCCAGAGGAGCCGCGAAGCCTTCTTGATGGGGGGCCGCAGCATGGCAGCTTTACCCGTGGCGCTCTCCTTGACGGCCAGCTTCATGTCGGCGGTGACGGTACTCGGTACCCCCGCCGAAATCTACAGCTACGGGGTCATGTTTAGCCTCTTCGCCATCGCCTACGCACTGATGGCGGTTATAAGCGCTGAGATCTTCCTGCCCGTCTTCTACCGCCTGAAAATCACCAGCACCTACGAGGTAAGGGGGCCAGCTAGCCTTACCGGGCTCCGCTCCTACTTGCTTTCTGGAGAGGCACTCGCCCGTTTCTCCTTGGCTGCTGACTATTGTTTTATCCACATACTAGTAATTGTACACAAGCAATTACTGTCATATTGTTTTCTACATTCCACCACTCGTTTTCTGAACTCTTCAACTAGGAGGTGGAGGTTAGAAGGAGTTGAAAATGCTCTGCAGCTTGTCCTTATAGAACTGGACTCTGCAGCTGAATCTTCCATTACCTTGTGATCCCAGCAGGCATGAAAATAATTCAGAGTAGTTTCTCAAGCAACTTGCTATGTGGACGTCAGTTCCCAGAATTCCCCAACCAGCATGCATTCATATATTTTAAAAGTTGCTAACATTGATTTAGACTAGAGCACGGAACAGCTTCTGGCAAATGACTTGGCTTCCTTGTCATATAGCCGCCTGGCCTAGATTATGCTGTCTGAAGTGATTGTTTCACTTTACAAAATGAAATTATGTGTGACTCAATAAACGTCTTATGGGATAATAATAATCATGAAACCTTGTATTGGATGCAACAAAAGAATTGTGTATAGAATAAAGCTTGATGAGGAATGTAGATTTATATAAACAGTAGAATGACAAAGGTTGGCAGAACAAAGCATGGTTGAAGAGTTAGACAACTCCTCTCTAAAGTAATAATTCTTCAGTAAAATGTTAATTCTTCCATCAAAATTACACAAATGTTACAAAGTATTTGTTTATTTCAGTACCTAGAAATGCGGTTTAATAAACAGCTGCGCCTGTGTGGAACAGGGCTCTTTATTATATTGACGGTAAGAAAATTAATTTTATACGTTTCTTTTAATGTATGACATTTCTAAAGTAAATTGATTCAGCCTTCTATCTTTCCAAGGTCAGTAAAATGAGGACCCAGATTGTTGGGGAAAATATGCTCATATTATAAAACAGCCCAAAGACTGCTGTAAAGCACTATGGGGATGTATATAAGTCTAGGTGCTATTGCTATTGCTAAATTTTAATATTTAATAGCTCTGCAGTAGATTACATAACTAAGAAATTTAATGTAGTGTAAATAATAGTTGTAAAATAAAGTTGATTTTTAAAAACAGATATGAAGTTATGAACTATATTATTTTATATGGACTAAATTGAAGTACGAAGTAAGGGAAAATCTTCACCCCCGTGACAAAGAGAGTTTGATTGCTTATTTAAGTTATAATAAGATATTTAAATAAATATGCTAAAAAGTTTTGAACTAAATCTTTTGAACAGAAAAATGTTCAAAACTTCTTTATATCCCGTAAAGAGGTATATTTGCCATTTAGCTCTTTATTTGGAATATATCTTGGATTTAAATCTAAAATAATTTAAGGGTTTCTTCAGTCATCTTTTACTCCATTAAAATTTTCATTATCCTAAAAATTCTCTGGCATAGTGGAGATGTTTCCTGAACAATATGAGATGAGCTAGAGTAGATTTCTTGTCAATGTCAGGAGTTTACTATCACATAACATAGTTTACTTCTCAAATTATGATTATCAAAAGAAAAACAAATGTTAATCAACTTGAGATCTTTGGATCTCAATTTCTAACTGTGAATGAACCTTGACCATTTTTGAAATCTTTAGTTGTTCAGGAACTCAACAATATTCTTAAAGAACCAGTTTGTTTATTTAAGTCAAAATTTATAGGCCACCAATCTCATTGTAATAAGTGACTGAGTGGCTTGCAAATAATTACTGTTACTTTGCCTGTAGTAATATTCCAAACAACAATGTTCTGCATTTTATCCTGATTATGATAGCTTCTTATTTATTCTAAAAATTAAAACTATTCTTCTTTTATTATATTTTGTGTAAATGCTATTGAAACCTATCACTTTTATCAACACATCTGTCATATATTGTTTGGATTTAATTCGTCATGCAATTCTGTACTGTACTGTTTCCAAATAGTTCTTGGAATGCCAAGATGAACAGTTTGTGTTGTTTGTTTATTTTTTAGATACTTTACACTGGAATTGTCATTTATGCTCCAGCCTTAGCTTTATATCAAGGTAACATTAAAAATATATATATTTAATAACAAATAAATTAATGCAGAACAATTTTGAAATTTTTCAACTATCTGCTGAATCTGAACATGTTTATACAACTCAAGTTGCAATATCAGAACAATAGGTATAATAATGTTGAAAAGTGATATAACTAAATTATGCTACTCAGCTGTAAATAGCCTAGGTTAATCAATTCTAAATATTAAATAAAGATTCACATGGATTCTAAAAGTATTACAGGTAATCCTCGAC